ATCCTCATATATTCTTAAACCTTTCCCATTTGAGCCACTTAAAACATTTCTCTTAGGTTTAAAATGATGCTTGCTTAACTTCTTTAAGCATTTTTCATGATTTTGCTAAGTCTATTCAATCATTATTCATAATAGAGATTAATCAACTATTTAACTTTTATATAAAGTGGATGAAGAATAACGCCATTTGATCAACTTTTGATCATAGAGATTTTCAATCACTTTCTTATATTCAATCATACTGAAGATAAGAGATTTTATTGGATTTCTATACTTGTCTTTTGGAGTGTTCATACCTTTCATCTCATTATATCCCTTGAAACCTTTTTCAAAATAAAGATTTGTTGGCATTTTACTCAAACATTTTGAATAAAACCAACCTTAGACATGTGACATGGGTTTCTAAAACTTGCGTTTAAGAACCATCTTAGCAAAATTGGAATATAGGTTTATGGATTATCTTTTAACCTTTTTGAGAACGTTTCTCAACTTTATTTTCAATCGAAGAGATTACATATATATGTGTGTGTATGTGTGTGTGTGTGTGTGTGTGAGTAGGAACAGGTTATAATGAGAACTAGCTCTATAATAGGAACTAGGAACTCATCACAACCGTCAAATTAAAAGGAAATAAACGGTTCAGATCATTTAATATTTAGAATTTTGAATCATGCAATTAGCTCTACACTTTTTCTCTCCTCCAATCAATCTCTCTCCTCCATTGATGCTACTGCTTTGAGCTCTCCATTAGAGCAGTTTTCGAGCATTCTCTTCTCTATTAAAGCAGCTTTCGTGCTCTTTGTACTCCATTGAAGCAGTAAGATTTTTTTTTTCTTTTTTTTTGTTGTTTGAAATCAACAAGTTTCAATAAAGTTATCTATATGTGATATTTCATGAATTTTGTTGTTAGTAAGGTCAATTTAGGGTTCTTAATAGTGTAATTCCGGATTACCTGCTAATTTTGTATTTTCACTAATATTTGTGTTTGTATTTCACTAATTTTTGTTTAATTTCATCTAAATTTAAGCAAAATATTAAGTGAACGCACACCAACTATTTGTTAAATTCCCCAATGAATCATATTATCACTTTCTAATGTGGATAGAAACTAAGTAAAAGTAAGTCGATTATAAAGCACTGTAGGGAAGTTCAGTTTGGTGTAGTTATCAGAGATTCAACAGGGTACAAGGATATTATGAGCTGCTGCAGTTAAGCATATGAAAGTGAGATGGAGTTCAGGCGGAGGCAAGAACAACAAGGTTTGGGGTTGAGGTGGCGAAAAGTAAATTAAACTTCTGAAATAGTAGACATGAAAAGTCAAAATTGAGAAAAGGTGTTGTTTTTTTATTATCTCTTATAATTATGGAATTTTCATGTCCTGCTTTGTTCAAGTGATTACTGAATTTCGAGTTTTTGAGTTAATTATACTTTTCAAATGACTCGCTAATAGAAGATTAAGCAAAAGAAATACAAAGGTAATTATTATGTTGGATTTTCTTGATTGGGGTTTTATTTTCTTGAATTATATTTCTTAGTATCATGTTTTTCTTGAAATGTAGCTTAACTTTCAACTTTCAGTTAAGCATATGAAATTGGAAAAATGGAAACTAATAATCCCACATTTGTCATTTCTGCTCAAAATAATCCCACTTTTTCGAATCTAGAAACAATATCACCTTTAACCACCATCTGCTCAAAATGATCCTTTTTACTTGTAACCTGTTAATTTTTTATATTTTTTATTTATTTATTTTTTATTTCTTAAATATCTCCTTTTACCTTTTTTTTTTTATTATTATTTCTTAAATATCTCTTTTTACCTCCAACCTTCCAATCTACTTCAATGGTAAACCACCATAGCCACCACCACCTGATCTCCATAACCACCACCATTAGACCTCCATAAACACCACCCAGGCTCCTACTGAAAACCGCACCCTTAACCCCGAACTCCCAACCTTACCACCGTGCCCCCGAACCCAACACCCCCACCTCGTACCTACGAAACCCCAGAGTCACATATTAAACACCGAAATCTGACCTCCTCACCCCTCACATTTAATTCGAAACTCATTTTCACCCGAAAAACCTTCATGATTCACCTCTGATTTAATACCAAGCCCCAATTAAATGAACCCTTACCCAGATTTGAAACCCAATAGTTCAATAAGCAATCAATCATCTAAGCTAATAATCAGTCACAACATCGATCCATTTGATATACTTGCTCTCTGAATTAAATTGTAGTGAAAATCAATCAATTACACAAGCTATTATAAGTACAGATTAAATATAATAAAGACTACTCATATATACTACTAAGTTTCAATTTTTTAGCAGATGATTTAATGAAATAAAATTGAGAATTATTGGGAGGGAATTGAAGGTGTAATATTGGTAAATTAAGGTGTGTGATCGATCTGATGAAATTCTCTCTTGCTTAGCTGCGGTTGTTGTTTGACGAAGAAGGAGGTGGGGGTTTCTTGATCATCGACAAGGAAGGAGAGTGGGACTTTGTCGGCGAGGCAAGGAAGGGCAGCTAGGCCCGACACAAAAGGGGGAGCTCCGGCTGGGACTCTGGGAGGTAATCAGGTAAATGGGGAAGAAGGAAGAAGAAAAGGTTTTTTTTGTAAAAAAAATTACTTTATTATTTAAATTTTAATAAAAAACCAATTAGAAGGTGACACATGGCAAGTTACCTTCTAAAACAGGTTACCAATTTTACAAACAGGTAAAAGGCTTGTTTTGAGCAGATGGAGGTTAAAAGTGGGATTGTTTCTAGATTTCGAAAAGGTGGGATTGTTTTGAGCGGAAATGACAAAGGTGGGATTATTAATTTCCATTTTTCCTATGAAATTTCACTAAAAGTAAATTAAACTTCTGAAATAGTAGACATGAAAAGTCAAAGTTGAGTATTTTGTTATGTGTTGTGCTAGCTTGAGGTAAATGTTATGTGCATGTACAACTAGATTATTGAGAATCAAGGTTATATTGACGTGCAAATGTAGGTGTTCTAAACTTATTGTCAGTTCTAATTTACTTTAAAAAAATTTATGTTTCAAACAAACCTTGAATTAGTGAATTAAATATGTTTTAAAGTAAACAAGATCTCCCTAGAAGTAAACTAAATAAGTCTCTAGCTTGAAATATGAACAGAGTTATCTTAATGTTATGTACACTACATATTTCGATTTGCTTGTTGCAAAGATAATCGGGGAAAGGGTTTATTAACTCTTAATCTATATCATTCAGAAGGTTTCTGTTGGTATCATGGTGTGGTGTGGTGTACTGTGGTTTAGCATTAGGGTTTATAAACTCTTAATACAAAATATGAATAAAGTTGGAAAATGTAGATTCCTATATCAGTTGTCTAAAGTAAATAAAAAAGTATTTAAAGTGAACAAAAAATACTCTAAAGTAAACCTATTAGCTCAAGTGGTAGAGCACTATGCGGATGCATAGAGTGTCTAAAGTAAATAAAAAAGTATTTAAAGTGAACAAAAAATACTTTAAAGTAAACTTATTAGCTCAAGTGGTAGAACACTATGCGGATGCATAGAGATGTAGGTTCGATTCCTACATAGGTTACCTCTAAAAGTAAATACAAAATATTCTAAAGTATTTCAAAACATCTCAAAAGTATATCAAAAAAACTAAGAAGTAAATCAAATTAACTCTAAAATATACAAACAAATTGGGTTTGGAGGCCTTGACTTTTCATTAAATTAAAAAACTTCAAAAATGTTGTCATCTTTTTTAAAGATTGGTTGAGGACCCAACCTCAACTCTATTTCTTCCTCAAAACACCTCGAAAAAAAAAATCAAAAGTGGAGAAAATTATGTCTGAAGTAAATAAAAAAACGCTAAAAATTAAATTAAATTATCTTTAATGTAAGTACCAATTAGATTGATTAGAGAACCAGTATCAGCTCTATTATTTCTTCCTCCAACTTAAAGTAAACATGAAACACTTTAAAGTTATGTAAAGTGTCACAAAAGTAAATAAAAATAACTATAAAATTATTTGAAGTAATGTGGGATCATTTAACCTACGTGGGATTTGAACCCACATCCTTTGCGCATTTGCACAATGCTCTACCAATTGAGCTAGTAGATTAGTGTTATTAACATGTTTAAGTAGTTACAATTCTAACAATGAAAACAAGTCATGCAAAGTTATTCAACATAATGAATCGAGCTAGAATATAAAACTTTCATAGTAAAGAAAAATTACTTAAAGGTAAAGCAAAATATCTTTAAAGTAAATAAACTAATCTATCAAAGTAGGCTAGTATATATTAAACATTCGAAGTAAAGGAAAAGTAAATAACAGATTTTTAAAAGTAAATAAAATTATCGCATAGGTAATTGAAAAACATTTACAAACTTGGAACTTTTTTAGCAGCAAGCCATGGCAAGGACCACTGCATAGTGCAGTAGCACCACTGCTGAGTGCAGCATCACCCCTATTGAGTGCAACAGCACCAGGGGTAAGTGCAACAGCACTAGGGCTGAGCGTATAAGCACTAGGGAAAAGTGCAGCACCAGCACTAGGGCTGAGTGCAGAAGCACTAGGGAAAAGTGCAGCAACAGCACGACTGCTATGGGGCAGATTGAATTCCTTTGCTAGCCCAGGTTCATATATACACAAAAATGAATTGCAGATTGCTGTAATTGTATTTAGGTCTAAAAGTCCACCACAATATCATATTTGATTTCCAAAATTCTTATCCCCTACCTAGTCCCTAGTCCATATCAAATTAACTATAAAGTATATCGAATCAACTAAAAAGTAAATCAAATTAATACTAAAGTATACAAACAATAAATTAGCTTGAAATGACTAAGCCTAGTCTCCAAATTACACAAATAAACCTACGTGGGATTCGAACCCACATCTTTTGTGCAATTACACAATGCTCTACCTGTTGAGTTAGTAGGCTAATGTATAGTAATAAAAAAAAATTACTCAAAGTAAATGAAAAATGAATCAAAATAAATCAAAAAATTGAGCTAGTATATTCAACATTTGTAATTAATCAATATTACATAAAAGTTAAAAAAAAAAAAATTGAAGTAGATAAACCAATCTATAAAATGTAAGACAAGGCTACAAATGCAATCTTTAAAACTCCTCATATTTTCTTAGATATATAGTTTGATGATCATGGTATGGGACACTTAACGCATAAAAGTAGCTACATTGTTGTAAACAACTATTTTTTTAAATGCTCTTCTACAACACTCTTGATATTGGTTTTACACTCTTATCAGTAATGCTACCCAACTTATGATGAGCATAATACAGAGTATTGTTGCTGCATTAATATGCCATATTTCTGTCAAGATGAACACTTTATAAAAAACAGTTACTAAAATCACTTCTAGGCATAGCAGAAAAGGCATATGACTATCTATAAAGCAAAGGCGAAGCCCATATACGATCTAAAACAGTTGACGGCTTCTCTGCTCACAAAAATATTGCATCACTCCTTGCCATCAGCGGTACGTAGAATTCCAAAATAACCAATCACAATGATAAGCTTCTGAGTGAAAGTCATGAAATTTATCTTTAACCTCATGGTTGGAGACCAGCCAAGCTTTTCTTTAATTAGAGTGTTATCAAAGTTACAACCACGGACACCCTCTGGGCCAGGAATATGCTGGATTGGAAGTTTCCTATCCTCAAAGCTCAAAACTATCTCAACCATCTCATTCAAGCTAACCATCTCATCACTTTCAATATTCACTGGCCCTCAGAAGTCTGACTTGGTCAATCTATAATGAATTTACAAAGTTCAGTATACGTAATACTGCACAAACACATAAAGGTAATAAAAGCAGGAACAAGTTAATTATGTGCAGCTTTGAATTCTACATAACTTAGCCAGCTACAACACAAATTGGCATATTCAGCCACTTTCAACTAGTGTTCTTTGGCAATTGAAAGTTGAAACAAACCAAAGCACCATTTATGATAAAACCAAAAATATTTTGCGGGAAAAAGAAATCTGAAAAAACCCATCCAAAACACAATTCTGAAAGCTTTTACCAGCATATTCGTAGAAGTCAACAACATTAACAACCTACTAGACTACTACAACAACTATAATTTTTCAAACTACCAATCTCCTTCAAATCTTCGATTTCCTAATAAGTTCGACACAAATCAATAAGAAAGGCCTGCTTAAATAGGCCAACGATTGTGCAACAGGCCATAATCAAAATTGTGAAATTGCAAACATTAATTGAAGAATCCCTAGAATAAAAATCAAAATCACAAATACACGAACAAATAATCAGGAAAACCCTAATTTTTGCAATCAAAATCATAAAAAAAACTGTTATAAAATGATAATAAAATCAAAGACCCTAATTATATATAAAATCGAAAACAAAAACGAAATCGAACAAATTAAATAACAATACAAATCAAACCAAAAGCAATAATAATAGAAATCGATAGCGAAATCGAACAAAAACTAAGCAAAAACCCTAATTATAAGATGAATCAATAAAAAACATACACAAGACAAAAAAAAAAACTGAAATTACCTCTCAAGAATGTTTGAATCACAGCAAAAAAAAAAGGAAAATCGCAGAAGAACAACGAAGAAGTTGCGAAATCAAAGAAGAAAATCAAAGAAATCGAAGAGCAAAATCGAAGAGCGATGTCGAACGTTGAAATCGCCTTCAACGCCTTTAGAGAGATCGAAGGTAGAGAGAGAAAGTAAGAAGAGGAGAGAAAGAGATAAAACACATGTCATTCAACATCGGAAATTACGAAAATACCCTTAATGAGGCGGGTGAATTGAAGACCGTCTGATCTAATGCGATGGACGGCTCGGATGAGTTCCTAGTTCTTATTATAGGAGTTGGTTGTCACATGATCCCATTTCTATATATATAATAGAACGACATGTTACTTATAAGTAAACGCAAAATTCAATTATATTTGATAAAATTTAAAGTACCATAAGTGAATTTTAGCGATAACTTTAAAGCACTTTATTCAATTTAAATGATCCTAATTTGAATTAAGTGATTCCAAGACCCTTTATTTGTGTAATAATTGACCGGACTTTGGCCCTACCATCAACCATTACATTTTCAAGGTGAGTAAACTCTTTACTGATTACAACTCTTGTAACTCTTGGTTGAATAATTAACCATCACATGTTTAATTATTACCCTTTGCTTCAAGGTTCTAAACTCTTTAGGTAACCTTGTTGAGTATAAACAATTAAAATTGTAAAACTTGATTTACCCCAACTCTCCTAAGATATAAAATGACACCCAACTTTGGCATGACCTATCATCAATATCAAAGGTTTATTGGGTTTATAATTGGAAAAGCAACCTCAATATTACCGAGACCTAGATTCATTATGTTGTGATTATTTAGTGAACTCTAGCGTATCATCAATCAATATAAATAAAATCTAACATGCATAATCAACTAAATGTATAAACAAGACATATCATGGCCCCTAATCCTAAGAAAACTAATAAAGTAAATGCTCCCACTTGAACCTTCATGTATCTCATCCACCTCACTCCTTTGGGCCTTCACTTTATGGGCTTCTTGGATTAACTGCAACCTGTAATTCTACTCTATTCTATCTACTACTTGAATAAAATGAAATAAAATTACAAAAAAAATACTTTAACGATACGTAGACCATACTAAGATTACAAAAATATATCACGATGCTCAGATCATATTTAGTAATCTACTAGGTCATACTAGTCATTATATAGCAAAATCATATCATATATTATAAAATTGCCACATAATAAATCACTCATCATGATTTCCTAAACTACAACATCGAATGTTCATAATTAAGGAAACATGGCATCTAAATATCTTATATTTTAATTAATGCAATTAGATAATATCATATATTATTCATGACCATCAATAAAATATCGTGTATTTTAAATTAGGTATTGATATAAAATAAAATCTTATTTTAATCTTAAAAGATAAATCATATTTACCCTCAAAGATTATCCTAAAAAAATTAGGAGATTCTATCCTAATTACTAGCCAATCACAAAATTTTAAGTCAACTATATCCTAAAATAATTATGGGATAATCATATTATTTAAATCAATTTTATCTTTTTGGAATATTGCTCAACAATCCTTAAAATTTTCAAAGATTAAAACAAATTTTAAGAATTGAAATTATCTTAGCAAATTCTATCCAAAATTAACAACTTTAATTATGGATAATTATCAAAAATCAAATTTTGAAATTTGTTTTTATCCCCAAAATAAAATCATATTTTATTTTAAAAATATTATAAAACAAAATTATTTTAATATATATATATATATATATATATATAACACCACTGCCACATCAGCTAGGGGAACCCAACCAACGTAGCAGTTCGCACTTTGCAGGATTGCAGGTAAGCAATTTCAGCCCACCCACAAAGATCAACAGCCAAAGACACACCAAACTAGACGCTTGAAAACGGTCAGACTAGAGATGGATCCCTGCTCCGCCGACCTTCCGAAATCACCCCCAGCCCAAGGTTTCCGCGCCGTCGTGGCCAGGCAAAGCCCAGCACACGCGTTGCCCTCCCCACTGGTGGCGAAATGTTAGGCTGCAGTGACAGTGGTGCAACAGCTGTGCCCCTATCCCGCCACCCCTTGCGCCTTCACCGCCCTTTTATTCGACTATCTAGGCGGCCGCCGTGGCCACCAGACGGTGGTTCGTCCACCCAGCCACGACTGACCTTTCTCAAAAATTGATTTTTTTTAGATTTAATTAAATTAAATTGGGTCTTTTTAAAACACAGCATTTATGCTTAATTCCACCATTGAAATTAAATTCATAACTCAATTTCAAATCTAGGGTTCTTCACAAAATTAATTTAAATTTAATCTAACACTTAGATAAAATTATTGATTATAAAAAAAAAAAATCACATTTTATGTATCAAATCAACCCAATTAAATTTATGAAGCATATGTATTTGAAAATCATCAAAATTAAGCACAAAATCAAAATTTAGGGCTTTATTTCAATCACAATTTTTGAAAATTCTAGGGCTTAATTGGGATTTTGTTAGAAAAATTGAGCAATTTTAAATCACATTTAACACAATTCCAAAAATTAAATCTCATTTAATATAAAGATTTAACCATAATTAAATTATTCTCCCTCCTAATTGAATTAAAATTGTGGACTATCAAAGAATTAAAATTCAATATACGTAAATGCAATAGGCTAACTGATACTACTGTAGGGATTTAGATACTCTAAGCGGAATTTCATGAATCATATCCATAAGCATCTAATAACCAAGATCATTGCATAACACATAAAGAACATATAATTGTACCTTTGAAGCGTGATTCCACGTGCGATCGAGCAAGAACAATGGGAGATAAAGAACCTCAAGCGTAATTCCTCTACTTGGTCCACGAGCACAGATTAAACCTCCACTAATGCTAGTTAGTCGTGATTGAAATTTTCAATCAACCTTCTACGGAGAGGAGAGGAACGAACTACCCAAGAACCACCACCATGAAGCACCACGCGCCACCTAGGGGGGTGGCCGAGTATACAGTTGGCGAGGGGGAAAGGCGTGCCTGAGGAGAGAGAGAGCTTAGGGTTTTTGGGATTGGTTGCCTTGTTTCACAATCTACTGTATGTTGATTGTTACTTAATGCAACCCTAGGCATGGATCTTATTTATAGATCACATCTCTAAATAAGAGTCCATGTCAAGCCCAATATCCTAACTCTAACATAACTATCTTGCCCAATCCTATTCATGGTTAGTCATATCCTCATGAGGCCCATTAATGGGTCTCTTACTTGTTTAACCCAATACCCTTGTTATGTGACCTCATAGGATCCATTTTATAGGGCTTTGGACTATTTGACTAGCCCAAAAATAATTTGTCATAATATAGCAATAGACAATGACGGCCCAAAAGAACGAACTTATTATCTCCATAATAGTGATCTTTGATATATCTATTAATTACACTTATCGAAGACATAATTCCTTCAATCATGGAATGTGTTTCCTCCCCCTCAATGAGAGTTCTTTGGAATGGAGAAAAATTCGATGTCTTTTATCCTTCACGAGGTATAAGGCAAGGCGATCCCCTTTCTCCTTACCTCTTTGTTCTTTGTATGGAGAGATTAATCAAATTATTTATGAAGCAATTTGCAATGAGAAAATGGAGACCGATATATGCGAGTAGGGGATGCCTCCTTCTTTCAAACCTCTTTTATGCCGATGATTTAATTCTTTTTGCAAGGGCCTCGGTGGAACAAGCCTAAGTGATAAAAGATTGCCTAGATTGATTTTGCAAAGCCTCGGGACAAAAGGTGAGTCTGCCAAAGTCTCGTGTTTATTACTCCCTCAATATTCAAGTTGATCTTCAAGATGAAATAAGCGAAGCCATGGGTATGCAGCCTACAGATGATCTAGGTTTCTATTTGGGGATGCCTACATTGACCAATCGTGTCTCTAGGGAAACCTTTTCTCATCTTTGTGAGAAAATTGACAGAAGATTGACGGGACGGAAGACTAAATACTTATCTCTTACGGGCCGCATTACTCTCACCAAGTCAACCATCACCACACTGTTGAATTACTCACTGCAAACCGCAATACTTCCTCGATCAATTTGTGATGAGATCGATAGAAAAGCAAGAATATTTGTGTGGGGAAGCTCGGATGAGAAGAAAAAAATACATCTCCTATCTTGGGACACATTGCATGTAATCCCCCATATTTTTCTAATATAATTACTTATTATTTTTACAATATTTTAATTTTAATTTTATAGTATGAATTATTTTAATGTAAAAGTAATAAGATTAACTATTAAGTTTTAATTTAAATCATACGTCTTTTTAAGTTAGTAGTCCAATGCTTAAATTCTACTCAAGCCCAAACCATACAATTCCTTCCTAATAAAATTAGGAAACTAAAGCCCAAATAAAAATACAAAAACCCTCACATCTCTTCCTTTCTTTCACGTGAAACACAAAGAAAAAAAAAACCCCTCACCTCTCTTCTCCTCTCTTTTACGTGAAACCAAGAAAAAAAAAACCCTCAAGGCCACCGACGCCCCTGCACCACCGCTGCCCCCACCGACGCACCACCGCCGCACCTCTGACCACCACCAGCAGCCCCCTTTGTAGTAGCCACCCTTCTTCCTCCCTTTTTCTCACTTCTTCTATTTTGTTATTTTGATTTAAAGCTTCAATTTTTATTTGATTTCAATTCTAAATTATTGTTATTAGGCTTTGATAGTATGTTTAATTTAAAAAATATTATAAATTTATGAGTTTTAGCATGTTTAAATTATTATATAAAATTTCAGATTATATATGTTGTATAATTTAGGGTTTAAACATTGATTTTTCATGTTTTAGGGCTTGAAAACGTGAAAATCAAGTTATCTAATTATACTATGTTTAACTTTTGTTAAAGTATAATTGTTTTGATCATATATAAATTTTCAGATTATTAAAGTTTCGATTTTTATGAGCAAGTTATGTTAATTTCATGTTTTTATGCTTCTAAGCCTACAAAATAATTATTGTGGGTATTTTATGATTGAAAAAGCTTTGAACTTTAAATTCTAACCTTAAATAATAATTTTCAGATTTCATACTTTTTATTTTGAAGCCTCTAATTACATTGAATTGATATATTTTTGGGTTTTTAACACACTAACTTGCTATATAATA